TATAGCGTAAATTCCGCAAAGAAAAGTGCAAGCCTGCTGAACCCTGCGCTTTGCCGAAAATCCATGCTATGATGCCTTGAATCAGAGTATCTCCATCAATATTCTCTGCTAGTACCCCTAACCTTCCTCAATAATCATTGCCAGCCTCCCAATATTCCCCAAGAACCTCTAACCCCCCCATTGTCCATAAGCTCATTAGTTCCGGTTTGTGTACCATCGGGCCAGCCGGCTAATCCCATGCACTCAAGGACTCTTGCATATTGGGCAGGCGGGAGAGAGAGCGAGAGAGAGGGAAAGAGACAGAGACGGCAAAACAACACCAATCATTCGCACGGCTTAAGGAGAGGCTGTAATACAATGCGAGGGGGACACCTGGCTGGTCTCTGTCACTGGCCCTCACCATTTTCTCTACTCTCTCGCCAGCTGGGGCTCCGAAAGACACCAAATGACAACCCTCGGTGTACGGATGGGGATCAATCTGCGGTTTTGGAGGATGGTGGGGCGGATGGCGAAGAGAATTTGCGAAATTTGAATCTGTGAAAGCCAGCAGAGATTCCTTAGGAACTGGAGATGTGGGCCGGCTAGCCGAGGGCCTTGCGGAATCGCAGGAACAGCAGAAATTCTTTACGATATTCCTGGGTAGAAAAGGGCATTGACAGGCTAGTAGAGATTCTTGAAAAAATTCAAGGGGTGGAGGCAGACTAGCAGAGATTTTTTAGGAATTTCTAGGGTTGAGGTAGGCTAGCAGTGCTGCTTTAGGAATTTCTAAGAGTCAGGCAGACTATCAGCAAAACTTGAAGAATCTAGACAAATTCTGGAAGCGCTTTTACGAGCACTAGGGGCCATTTACGGACCCAACCAGGCAATATATTTTTAAATACAGGAAATAAGCATAAAAATCTAAAATACATTAAAAAAGTCAATCGATTACGCACTAAAATTCCCTTCCGTATTTTTGGGGGAAACGGATGCAAATAAGGAGGAGCATCACCTCCTGCTCCTCCTCCTCCCGACGACGGTAAGAAAAATGGGCCATTGTTGGGGGCAATGGTCCGTACAGGGGAGCCAAATGGAATGGTAACCCCCGCCCGGATGGGTTGACCGGAATTTGCATAAACTAACAGACACGGAGAATCCAGCAAACTGACGGAAAATTTGAATCCGGTTGAATACCCTAAAAATTTCTGATACTCACCGACGGAATTGAGAGACGATCGCCGGCTGAGGGATTGGCTGTAGTAGTTCGAGCGCGGGGAGGCTGACCTGAAAAAAAAATCATCAATTAATCAAGCCAAAGCTCGCCAAGATGATCAATTATACGTTATTAGGTGTATTTTGTAGTTTTTCAAGTGACTCAAGTTTTTGAGCAAAAGCAAAAAGTTTGGCGCCGGCAGGGCTCGAACCCGCGTCTTGTGGATGAGAGGCAACGGCGTTACCAATACACGACAGCTATGGGACTGGACTTTTTATAACTTTTTGGTTGGAAACAGGTAGATGCTCTCTGCTAGGCGGCCTTTAGCGAGTTTTTCGAGTTCGAGTCTCTCAGCTAGCTGGCCATCAGATTCCTCAAAGAGTCTCTGCTAGCCTGCCATGGCTGCGATTCCTCAAAGAGTCTCTGCTAGTTTGCCCTTGTAGTACCAAAGAATCTTTGCTATCTCCCCCTGAAAAAGCTCTGCTAACCCTTTTCTCAATATTCCCAAACGCTCTCTGCTAGCGTGCCCCCACTTCCTCAAAGAATCTCCACTATCCCTCCCCTACCTATGATTCATCGTCTGACCGTCCGGCTCCGATCTGTTGCGCGACAAATCCGGTCGACTGGCGGTACCCTGAAATTCATCCTTCCTCAAGAATCCCTGCAAGCTTTCCCACCTGGCTATACAGCAATGGATGGTACGGTAGCGGGGTCTCGCCGCGAAGGGGGAAATTCGGGGTCTCGGCCCTTCCACCGACAGATTGGGCTCTTTCCTGGGTACCGTAGTACTGACGGGATGGAGTCTCGGCACGGACGATCGCGGCGGCGACACGTTCCTGTAAAAAAACAATTAGAAAAATCTAGAGGTACACTGTATCTAGAATTTTTTGGAGGACAAAAAATCGAAGAATAAGGCTCAATCTTGGCTTGCCAATCCCTTTAGAAGCCCTCAAACGAAGCTAAAAAAATCAAAGTAATTTCCACTTCCGATAATTCTTCCCCCCCATTAAGCGACTTTTACCGTATTTTTTTAAAGGGACCGAGAGGTCATTAGCTTAATTTTTCTAGGGGATACTGTATCCATAAATTAGCAAACGGCGGTTTTTCGAGCCATTTTTGCCTTTTCTAGTCTCTTTAAAAACCCCAAGAATTTCGCGAAACGCTCAGTTACAGTGTTAAAAATCTTTTAAAGGAACTAGTAAGGCAAATTCTGGTTTCTTTGTAGGTTTTTTAGATCTTAAAAATAAACGTGTTTTTCTTGTTTTCATGTTTTTTTCTACAGTACCTCAGTTTTTGGCAAAACAAGGCAACTAGCCGAAGTCTTTTAGGAAATTTCTGCTAGCAGATTGTGGGCCATCTAGCAGAGATTCTTTCGGAATTTTCTCAAATCCGTCAACGTCTATTTTACACCCCTTTCCTACCGTACCTGTCCGGAGTAGAACTGTCCCGAGGGAGTCTGTGCACGCGACAACGAACCGTACTCGGCGTAACGGTTGTCCTGAAAAAAAGCAACGATAAATGGTAGTTTACCGTATTAATGGTATAATACGGTATTAACGGTAATAGTACGTAACTGTACGGTAGCGTGCGATATCGTGGTAATCAATATCGGCTTTTTCAAGTGCGACGAAATTCGAGCTAGGTCGAGAGTTTTTTGGGGTCTATCGGCTCAAATATCCTGGGTTAAACTCTAGGTATTTCGGGTCCCAAATGGTCTCTGCTGGCTTGCCAAAGTGCCAGTAGGGCAAGCTAGCAGAGATTTATAGCGAAGTGGAATTCTGGAAGCAACTAAAGAGTAGCAGAGATTCTTTGCGGAATTGTGATGTATGGTGGCATGCTAGCAGTGATTTTTGAGGAATCGGAGAAGAGAGGATCGACAAAAGATGAAGAGAAGGCGAAGAGCTAGCAAAGATTTTTGAAGAATTCCAGGCGCCGAAGGCAGGCTAGCCGAGATTCTTTGAGAAATTTAATGGATGGGAAAACGAGCCCGTGACCATTTCGGAATTTTCAAAATATTCCAAAGCCAAGAATTCCGGGTTCCAGGAGGGCGAAGCCATAAAAGGTGGATGGGGGATAATGGCTAGGCAGTGTTATATGTTGACATTGCTAGAGACCGTTTGCCCCAAGCCATCCATCCATTCCCCCCACAAAGTGTGTGCCCGCCGCGCCACTTACGGAAATACCGCCCCACCACCCCTCGGAAGGGGGCTTCTCTCTGGAATGGGACGACGATCAGTATGGCTATCAGGGGTTTATCGCTGTCTCCCACTCTCTCGCGCTCTCTTTCTCTCGCTCGCTCTCTCGCTCTCACTTTTTCTGTCTCTCTATCTGTCTCTGTGTGTCGCTTTCTCTGTTTCGATTTTCCTCTATCTCTCTCTCTCTCTCTCTCTTTCGCTCTCTCTCTCGCGCTCTCTCTCTCTCTCCTATTAAATGTCGCTGAACCTTCGACAGCAAACTAGCAGAGATTCTCTGCGAAAAATAGTTTTCTAGACTGGCAAGCTAGCAAAGATTCTTGAGGATAAGGGCTAGCTGGCAGCGATTTTTGAGGAAAATTCGATAATTAACCGGCTACCTAGCAGAGATCATTGAGGAAGGACAGTATGGCGGAGACAGTTTAGGAGGAAAGGCAAACTAGCAAAGATTCTTTGAGAAACCTAGTCAAGGTCAGAAGGCAAGCCAACCAAGCCTCTTTTTTTTGGAAACTGACCGGATATCTACCGGATGGTGTCTCTCTTCCTTTAGCCCAAGCCGATGGATCGACGGTCGATGGTCTCGCGTATTCGGAGGATTGTTTTCTCTGAAAAATTCATATTTTTGGGTAAAATTAACTCCAAGAATTTCTGCTAGCCAGCCCTAACTAATGGCCGGAAGTGTTGCCGGCCATCCAGCACAAGTTATCTAACTCTAAAACATGACCCATCTACCGTACCTGTCCCTGTGGCGTCTCGTATTGTTGTTGATGTTGATGGTGGTTAACGTGTCGATGGGTTGGAGCAGGGGAGGCGTTCTCGTTCTGAAAAATTGGATTTCATGAGCTTACTTTTATAGATCATCTCTTTTACCATAATCTACCGTAATAGCTCCTTTTCTAGATCAAAAATTTTAGATTCCGCATAGCGTTCAGATTGTAGATCGTAAAAAGCGGGGACTTCAGAAGTGAGTGTATTTATATGGGCATTTCAATGAGCCGATTTCCGGGCAGAAAAGCGTGAGAAAATCGATTGTATTGAAAGACAGCGAGAGAGATAGAGAGAGAGAGAGAGAGAGAGAGAGAGAGAGAGAGAGAGAGGGAGAACGAGAGGGCGAGAGAGAGTGAGAGAAACAGAGAGCGCGAGAGAGAGGGAAGAAGAGAGAGAGAGAGAGAGAGAGAGAGAGAGCGAGAGAGAAGGCGAGAGAGAAAGACGGAGAGCTACAAATAAAACTAAGGCTTCCAAAAATCTTTACCATATCTCCATAAATTTTAAAGTATACCCCTTAAGGATTTAAAGGAAATTTCAAGGAAAAAATAGACATACTCTATCCTACTATATATAAAAAAATAGTGTCTGTGTGTGTGTGTGCATTTGCATGCAACTTCCGTCAGCGTGTTCCAGCAGTATCTCAATATTGGGGGTGTTTAGGGGTACGTTTTATACGTCATTAGGTGCGTAATGGCCTGGGAGATGGCTGCACACTCATGAAATTACCAAAAATTTGCTGTTTTCGATGTTAAACTTAAGTTTTTTGTTGAAAAATCGAGAACCCTCTTTGTTAGGAAATGATTAGCATACGCCGGAAGTTGTGGTAGCCTATATAATGGGGTAGAGAGCGGGCGTTTCTCATTTTTGTCATAGAAAATCGCGAGAATTATGCATAGTGAAGAATAACATGGGTTCCGACGGGGCCAGGGTTGAAAAGTCGCGAAGCGACTTTTCAACCCTGGTTTTTTTTTTAAAAATATGAGTCAGCCGATGCCTTCGAGCCATTTTGGGCCCCTCCTTGGCCCTAAGGGCCCTAAAAGGCCAAAGCCGCGTAAAAGCAAAAGCAGAATTTGGGAATGTGAGCTGAGTACTACACACACAACTTCTTTTTGTGCCCTCTCGGCTGCTTCCTCTTGGCTCTGCGGCCCCTAAAAAGTGCCCCAGGGGGATATTCTCAAACACCAAAGGGAGGGGGGGGAGAAGCTCGGAGCTCTAGAGAGGGTGCCGACAAAAAAACATAACGAATGAGGGTAGGGGTTGGGTTTTACAAGGGGATTTTCGAAGGCTTGGAGGATGGGCAGGCTAGCAGAGATTCTTTGCGGAAAGGCGCTAGTTGGGAAAAGATAGTTTTAAGGGTGTTCGGATGGGAAAACGGGCCGACGACCAGGCAGGCTAGCAGAGATTCTTGACGGAAGATCGTATCGTCCAAGGTATTTGAAAGGATAAGCGGTTTTCTGGCTTCACAGTCCCTTTAAAAGCGTAGGAACTCATTTTGAATAAAATAACGCATTTTCCATACTTTTAAAGGCAATGTGAAGCCAAATTTTTGAAGATTTCAAAGATACGATACTAAAAATTCGTCGAGAGTAATAAAGCCCTACATCGCCATGGATCCTGCCTTGCCAGTGCCTTTAAAATCCGTAAAATTCCGTTATACAACCAATTATGGGACTCAAAACGGTCAGCCGGCTTGCAGAGATTATTTAGGAATTTATTGCCGGCACGATCCGGCAGGCTAGCTGCGATTTTTTGAGAAAATCCGAGAACTAGCAGAGACTCTTTAGGAAAGGGCAGCCTAGCTGAGATTCTTTGCGGAAATTTCCCAGCTGGCAAAGACCGTTGCGGAACCCAAGAAATTTGTTCGAATCAAGTGAATAAACAAACACAGCAAAGAAAGGCTGGCATTGAATGGGGGGTAAAGGCGGAAGGGGGGGGGCCCAAAATGGGACCCACAATTGGGGCTGAGGCCATGGCAAGGCATAGGCTGTGTGACCCATAGAAGGAGAAGAAGAAGAAGAGCACTAGAAAGGGGGAAGAAGCCATTTGTCAAACAAGTTGAGCCCGTTCTGCCCTCGAAGAGATGCCGAGGAAGGAGAGGAGGACCGAGAGATTAATGGGGCAGGCTAGCAGGGAGGGTTCGGGAAAACGGGGGGACTTGAGTATAGTGCGGGCTAGAAAAAATCATTTTGGAAAATTAGGGAATACTGTATAGAACCTTAGGAGGAGGACAGCAGAGATTCTTAGGGAATGGAGAGAGGGCAGGCTAGCAAAAGCTTTTGGGAGAATGCAGCAAGAACTAGCAGAAATTTTTGAGCAAGATTCTTTAGGAAAACCGAGGTATCAGAGATCATTGTGGAAAGGAATTAGGACCAGAAGTTTTTTTGAGGATTTCCGACCAGGCAAACTAGCAGAGATCTTTGGGGAAAAGAGCTGAGGGCCATCTAGCAAAAAATCTTTAGGAAAATGCGAAACTTCTTTTGTGAAACTGAAATTTATTGGCAGTTCTCGCCGCTTCAGCCCCTTATCATCATACTTTTTATACCAGATGGCGGCTTCCGTCATATCAGGGGAATGGCATGCTGGGATTTTTCTGCGTCATTTTGGAATTTTGAGGAATTTTAGGACAGATTTGTCTTAATTTCTGATATTACCTCCATTCCTATCGAAAACAAAATAGGAAAGTGAATAGTAGTAAAAAATAGTAAATTTTCCTCGAAATCCGACACGCTCCAAAACACGCCAAGTGGGGTGGTGGCATGAAATGGAAATCGATATCGGGAGATCGTCGAAATTGGGCAGCAAAAAGGGGGGTGACGCAGCCGTTTTTGGGCATGAATTGGAATGAGTGAGGGCACGATATAGAAAATACTTCAAATTTTTGGAAGCCGTAAATCAAAGATAAATCCAAGCAAGAAGACCAAAAAATTGATAGAAAACTTACAATAGAGTTCGTTGTAAAATTTCAAAATTAACTTCAGAAAATTTGTTTAGACAGTTTTGTCCCCCCGTTAATAGAGCAGTTCACCGAGCTACCGAGCTTGAGACTACAAACTACAAACTAAATTAGGAAAACTGTGAATTTTTGTGAAGAAAATTTCTAGACTTGATTTTTATATATATTTTTTTCTTTTATTAATATAAATTTCTAAGATTCAATGATCGAATCGATCGAATGAATAGAACAACGTAAAGTATATAATTAAAAGGTACAGAACGCAAACTATAACGCCACCCACCTTAACGATATTCCCGAGATGCGCAAAATCGCCAAAATCGTCGTCAATGTTCGTCTCCTTCGCCGAGGTGTAGCCGTTTTGGTGGGGTTGGCGGTAGTGTTGCTGGAAAATCAGGATTTAGGAAATACCAGGGTTGAAAAGCCGCTTCGCGACTTTCCAACCCTGGCCCCGTCTTGGACCGCATGCTGTTCTACGCTTTGCATAATCGCGCTGAATTCAGATGACAAAAAATGAAAATGATTCGCTTGTAGGCAATTTATATAGGCGACTACCCACTTCCGGTCAATGCTAATTTTTCCTAGCGAAGAGGGTTTTACAAAAACTTAAATTTAATATCGAAAATGGCTGATTTTTATAAATCTGATATGTGGGCAGTTTTCCCTAGACCATGACGAACCTAATGACATATCGTACCTATTCCTAACTTCTTCCCCTATGGAGATACTACTGGAACAACGATACGGAAGTGGATGCAAAGTGGCACACACACACAGACACTATTTTTTTATATATAGTAGGATTCCTAAAAAATCTCTGCTCACCTCCAAGCCTGGGGTGTTGACACGACTCTGAGGAGGAGAACGACTCCTTTCACGGGGTGGAGGGGTCGGGGGTTTGCCGCGGACTCCTAAAAAAATTAGCTATGGATTTGGCCTTCACAATCCCTTTAAAGCAGGAAAATTCTGAATTCGCTCTCTCTTTTCTCTCCTTCTCTCTCGCTCTCTCTCCTTCTCTCTCGCTCTCTCTCTCTCTCTCTCTCTCTCGCACAGTCTCTTTCTCACCTCTTCCCATCCTCTTGGGCAAATCGTCAAATGGTGATGAAGTATTCCTAAGCCGTTCTTCCTCGCGTCTATAGGCCTCTAGCGGATCTCGTGGGGCAGCCACTAAAAGATGTTTTAAAGGACCATCGAAGGCAGATCTGGCCGACGAATCCATTTTTACAACAGTAAAAAAGCGGAATTTCGCATCAATTTCGAAAAGCAGTTGCCTAGCCAAACAAGCAATACGAGTAACTGAGCGGCTTTCGAAGGGTCACCCTCTTCAAACCACCCATATTTCGATTATGGCACGGCTGGATGGGCATAATCCATTTTTCGCCCCTCTCGTATTCAGAACCCACTTCCCACCCCGGAATCTGGCGCGCCGCCAAAATGGGCCCCAGGGGGGTTGAAATGGGCCAAACATCTATTGGAACCGCGCTATTTTCTCTAATAAAAACGCATAACCTGGCGAAAATCGAGTTTATGGATTTAGCATCACTATTTCCTTTAAAATATAGATAAATCACTGACCTTCATTATAATCGCGTCCGGCTGGCCGTGGCGAGTCGTTCGCGTTTTTCAGCTCCTAAAAAAATTAAATTCAGGAGCAAAAAAAGTTTCCAAAATGCTCTCTGCTTGCCTGCCCTCTCTCTCTATTCCCCAAATGCTCTCTGCTAGTTTGCCTACCTCTAACAGCATCCTCTCCTGTGTTCTCCTCCTCGTCACATCTGGATCTTCCCTAAAAATGCAGCGTTCATGCCTTGCTGGCCCCATTAAGATGCTAAACTTCAAACTAAATACAAACCTCTTTGTTTTCAATTTCTTCAATTTATTGGATAGCCAATCGTCTTGCGGGGGTTCTTCTTCATTCCCGCGGGGGAGGGTCAGGCGGCTGCTAAAATTGAGCTTTTAAAGGGCCATTGAAAGCAAAAATCAAAAGATTTCTGATTTCCCGTTAATACTTGATGCGGTTTACCCTTTTGATACTTTACAGGGCCATTTAAGGCAAATTCGGAGGATTTTTCAACGTTACTACGATCATTTTGGCTTTTAAAAGATGAAAAAACGCAAAGATCGTCGATTTTTGATGGGAAATTTCGATATTTTTAATTTTAAAGGCCGGGTGAAGTCAAATTCCAGCGATTTTTGAAGCTGGATCGGAATTTTCGATTTTAAAGGTCCGCTGAAGGCAAAAATGGCCAAAAACCTCGATTTTTCCACTTACAAATTGCCTGCCGGCTGATAACCCTGCGCTTTCCGGGCCGAGTCAGCAGCTTTCACCATTCTCGGCGAGCCCCGTCTTGTCTTAGGGTCCAATTTTTGTGAATTTTGCTGGGGATCGGCTTGATTGGCTCTTAGCCATTCTTCAACCCTTGAGTCTCGGATTCTGATGACAGGGCGTGGCTCGAAGCCGGTGAAATGAGGTGTTGGACCGGGCCAGATATCCAAACGGACGCTTGTGCTTGGCGGGCTGGGTGGGTTACTGTAGTTGGAGCATGTTTTAGGGACTTCAACCCAAGGTCGTGCAATTTCCGGGCCATTTAAAATTCGTCCTTCCTCTAGATTACGGTAGTTTGGGTGTGTTCTAGGCGCGCCTATCCGATTATTTGTGTCCGCTGGTTCCTTTCGTTCCTGCTGGGTACTGTAGCTGGGGCGATCTTTAGCTTCCGGCCGATCTTTCGGCTCCTCCTCCCGATTTCCTGAGTTTCCCGGTCCCTTTAACAGGCCTGAATCAACAGGGTTACGGTAGTTAGGGCGATTTTGAGTATCTTGATGTTTCGATTTTTCTGTTGTTTCTGCTCCCTCTGACACCTCCTTATCGCTGGGACTATCCTCAAAATGAACCGTTTTTGAGGAGCTCGATCTCCTTTTCGTCGGCGACCAATTTTTTGGTCTTGGTATGGATTCGGATTGACTTCGGGGGCTTGGCTGGCTTGGCTGACGGCCTAAATGGCTTGGTTTCTGGACTTCATCTGGCCGACTTGGGTGGCTTCGATAGCTTACTTGACTTGACTTCGTAGCTTCAGCCAATCGACTTGAGTGGCTTGGCACAGCTTGAAAGACCGATCGACTTGGATGGCTTGGTTGGCTTTCAGAACTCATTTGGCTTAGGTTATCGGCTTCATCTGATCGAATTAAGTAGCTTGGCTGACTTGGTCCCGGATCCGAAGCGATCATCTTGGCTTCGATTTGGCTTCGGTAATACCGTATCCTAGGATTATTTTTGAGCCTCCAATTCTGCAACCAAGTCGCTTCATCCTCTGAATCCGAAACAGTCAAGCCTCTCCTTAATGCCTGATACCTCGAGGGTGAGCTGTCATTTGGGGCGTCGGGTAGTTGCCGTCCTGGCTTGGCTTTAATTTTTGAAGCACTTGGGCAATTCTCGGAATTTTTCAGATCGTGGATAACCTCTAGATTATCGTAATCCTCGGGCCCCAATTTCCGGGTTACGGTATCCGGGCCTGGGTACTGTATGGGATGAAGCGGAAAGCGTGTAAATGGTTGCGTAGCGTAGCTGGTGGTGGCCGGCGTATCGGGGAGATGGCGCACCATTATTCGTTCGTCTAGAAGAGGATTGGTGAAAGAGAGGGAGCGAGAGCGAGGGAGCCAGGGAGAGAGAGCGAAAGGGTGTGAGAGCAGGAGAGAAAGAGAGAGTGTGAGAGAAAGAGAGAGAGAGAGAGAGAGAGCGAGACAGGTAGAGGCAAGCTAGCAAATATTCTTCAAGATAATGATAATCCTGGGGGCAGAATAGCATGTACCGTTTAGGAAGAGAGCAAGAGAGTGCGAGGGAGAGCGAGGGAGAGAGAGGACGAGAGACACAGACAAACAGGTGAGCTAGCAGAAACCCTTTCGCAAGGGCGAGACAAACGCTGAACCGAGCCGAAAAATGCAAATTTCCCCAAAATTCGCTGCTAGCCAGCCATCTTCCCAACTCCAAAAGAACCTCTGCTAGCCTGCCAATAAAAAAACAGAAAAACTCAAAAAGAGCCGGATGCTCTTGCGACTTTCGCCTGCCCGGGGGAACAAGCGGAGAACTTGTGTGGCTAGTTAGTGGTTTTGGGTTTGAGCCCCCATGTCTCTCTCCCTCTTTCTCTCTCTCTGTCTCTCTCTGTCTCTCTCTCTCTCTCCGGCTAGAGAAACGGGATCTCCCTGCTCCCTTTTTTCCATTCGAAAATCCTCAGCTGTGTCCTTCCCTTCCCCCCTGGATAGTGTAAAGAGGCCCTAAAAATCTTGGCTAGCAGCATGTTTGAGAAGACAATATATATGCCCTCCGGGGCTACAAGGAGACTCAGGCTCCTTGGAGAAATGAGAAATGACGGAGTGTGACAGGGAAAAGTTCGGGATTTTTTGCGTGATTGAAGGATCGATGGAAGGGGCAAGAGTCTTGTCGTTCGGTTTGAAGGGAGTCTGACATTTCTTCTGCGAGTTTTCGACACATTAAAGGGAGTCTATTCTTTTCATAGTATTTTTCGTAAATTTTAGCACTATTTCAAATAGAAAAGCTATCGAAAAACTTTTGACAATTCGAAACTTTGTTAAAAAAAATCAAGATTTTCTTAGTTTTGGATAAAAACGGACCTGAAATACTTCTTTTTTTTACCGTTAATTTTGCATTTTTGAGGTCTATACCGCATCAAGAATTAATGGGCGGTCACAAACCCACAAACAAATCTGAAAAAGTAACGGACCGTTCTGGAGCTGACGTCACGCTGCGGCAGTTCCGTTGCCGCCACGCGTCGCGGTCTTGCGGCTGAAAAAGGCATAGGGTGATGTATTCTTTAAAAAACTAGATTTACGTTAATTTGCATTTAAATATACATAACTCGACTGCCACGGCTTTTTAAGGATTGTGGAAAGAAATCGCTCAAATAAATCGATACCACTATAATTTTTTGATTAGTATTTTAATCGATTAAATCTATAAAAATTCCCAAGCTTCACCGGCCCTTTAAAACTCCTAAAAACGCACCACTCGATTCAGCTCGTCCAGATGCAAATCAAGGGTCGAGGCGGCGGCCACTGGCTGTGGTTGAGCATAGTGGTCGTGGCGCCTAAAAGGGGCGTGCTAGCAGAGATTCTTTGAGGAAATGCATACCCGTATGGATCCTCAATCGGTCTGTACTGTTTCCGGGGCAACTGCTCGCTCTTGGGGGCTTGTTGCCGTTTCTGGGTACCGTAGTTCAGGTAGAAATCCGGGTCGCACAGGTCGTCCATGTCATTTCTGCAGAAATATGGTAATTTCGGATCTTTTAACGCTATTAGCTTCTTAAAGGGTCACTGCTAACTTGCCCACGCGCGCATTTCCTGCTAGCTTTCCCATTAATTATTATAATCAATCCGGGTCAGAATCCGGAATCCCGCAAATTCTCTCTGCTAACTCGCTTACCCTAGCGCCGCTATATTTCCCAAAAGATCGCTGCTCGCTTGCCCCCGGGCAAAATTTCCGTAACTTCTCTCTGCTAGCCTGCCCGGGATAGCTAGGAATTTTCCCCAAAGATCTCTGCTAGCCTGCCCGAACCGGCTTGATTTAAATTACCTCTACTAGCTGGTAATTTTGCTTTCGGGCCCTAGGGCAAGCTAGCAGAAGCAATTTGCGGAATATCTGGCACGATCTCTTTAAAACAATACCGTACCCATATCTGCTGTCATCCAGCTGTCGATAGCTGCTGCCCGTACGCCGCGATCCGTTCGTGTGCATCGTGTCGGTCCACGACTGAAAATTAGCAAATTTTGAGTATCTTTCTCTCTCTCCCTCCCTCTTCCTCTCTCCCTCCCTCTCTTCCTATCTCTTTCTCTCTCTCTCTCTCTCTCTCTCTCTCTCTCTCTCTCTCTCTCTCTCTCTCTCCTCTCTAACCTCGTCGTCATCGAATCGGGTTCGTTCTCCAAATGCGCTCTTGCTCCTCTCGGGAGCCTGCGCTGGGCTACGGTAGCTACCGTACGGGGCAGCGTCGCGGAGTGCAGCCTAAAAATAATGGATTAGACGGTAGCTATTCATTTCTGACGCTTAATACCGTTCCCGCAACCGTAATCGTCTTTTTTGCTAGGAATCCACAAGGATCTTGGCTTCCTGGTACCTTAAAAAACAGGATCCGGATTGGGTTTATTCGGCTACGCCACAAAAACCTACCGTAATGATCGCGCTTTTTTGATTTTTTTTTGCCAGCTCTATAGTCGTTATGCCTTCAAGTTGCCTTTAAATATTTTTTTCGCTTTAAATTTGACCAACTACGCTATAGAATGGCTATTTAAATTCATGCAACTTGCAAAGAATTCCAGAAATCCATAAATTTTCTGCCTTCCCAGTCCCTTTAAAACGCCACAAACGCGGACCTCCTTCCTGACTTCACTCGGTTTATATTTCTCCCATCTGGATACCCTTGTCGTCGTCGTCGTGCGTTCTACCGTATTCTCCGGGTTGTCCGCCGTACTCGTTCCAAACGTTGGTGTTCTGCTTTTCGGGTGTACCGGGGGTTTTGAGCGGCTTCTCGGCCTCTTTTCCTCTTCCTCAGGGCTTTGCCCAATTCCGGAATCCGTCGACTTGACCATGTCACTATCATCTTCTTCCGGCTTTTTTGTTGCCATGAATTGGAAGAAGTTGCGACGAGGTGGAGGAGGTCGGGGTGGGGCATCGGAAGTGGATGAGGAGGGGACACCGAACGGCTTCGGGGTGTTGGTTAGGGGGCCTGGAGACGGATTATGGGCGGACGTCTTCTGGATGGGTCCAGAATTTGAGGTTGACGTGGGCCCAAAAGCTACAGAATTTCCGGAATAGCCGAAATTGTTGCTTGACGTCTTCTGGATGGGTGGAGAAAAGCTAGAATTTGAGTTGAACGTCTTCGGGAAAGCACCGGAAACCCTTAAATCTCCAAAATTCGAGTTGGATCTCTTCTGGAAGGCTTCGGAATTTCCGGAATCAAGACCAGACGTCTTCTGAAACCGGTCGGAATTTCCGAAATCTCCGCCGGACATCTTCTGAGAGGCTCCAGAATTTATTGGGATCCCGTAATTCTGGCCCGACGTCTTCTGAACTCCTTGAAAACCGTCGCCGTCGGGCTCCCTGGATACTCCTGCTCCCCCTCTGGCCGCATTACTAACAAATAGAGGGTTTTCCTGAAATACAGGCGGCTCAGAAAAAGACACATTCAACGAGCTCCTGCTCCCCGCCGTCGATTCCACCTGGGAATTCCTGTGCTCAGAATTCTCTTCGTTTTTCGGGGTTTTTGGCCTGCCCCACCATGTGTGTCTTCGATCCGCCTCTTTTTTAGAGTTCGGGAAAAACCGCTCAAAAATCGGGGTTTTCGAGCGGGCTGGGACCGGGGATTCCGGTTCGGCTTGTCTTGTCGGCATTGTGTCTGATCGTTTTAGGGCACTTCTGGGTTTGGGTCCTTCGTTTATCGGCTTAGCCTGCGATTCAGGGGCTTCAGGTTTCCGGAAAAATTTGAAAACCGGCTTCGGACTATCGACTTCATTGTTTGGCGTTTTTTGAAAGCTATCTTGAGCACCAGAAGCTTCCGGTTTTCGAAAGAATTTGAAAACCGGCTTCGGACTGTCGGTTTCTTTGGTTTTAAACCCTTCCGGAGCTTTCCGGAATATCCTGAAGCCAGTTGGCTTCGTTTCTGGCCTGGGCTCGACTTCCGGTTTGTACCCATTTTTCTCTCTAAAGCTCGATTGTCGTCCATTTCTTAGGAAATTCCCGAAAAAGGACCCCTTCGGCTCGCAAGTCCGACTTCTAGCCTGCCCAGCTTCGCGAGCTTGGCTTGGTGACCGGCTTCGAGACCTGGGATCAATTTCCCAAGGCGCGATAGCCTTTTCCGGAATCGGACTTGAGACTTTCTGCCGATCTCGGCTCGGCGGCTGATAAGACTGAGCTTGTAGTGAAGAAAGTGAGGTTGGGATTGGTTTTGGGCCTTCTTGGTGTTGCTGATGATCTTCTGGTTCTTGGGAAAGGCTTCTGGCCATGATATCCTCGGACAATTCATAGACAGCCTGACCGGGTTCGATGTGAACGATTTCAGCTCGTTGTGGAGGAGGACCTCCGAGGAGACGACGGAACATTACGGCATACGGTAGATGGGGGAGACTGTAGAAAGGGGGGTTAGAGAGAGAGCGAGAGAGAGAGGGTGAGACAGAGAGAGAGAGAGAGTGAGAGAAACATTCTTTAGAAAAATCGGTTTTAATGGGGCAAGCTAGCAAAGATTTTTGGGGAAACCTTGGACACGTAGAAGGCTAGCATAGATTTTCGCGGAAATTCAGGCGAGGGTACCAGAGACAATTTGAGCATGGGCAGGCGAGCAGTGATTCTTGAGGAAAAATTATGCTCAAAAATCAACTATGCCTTTAAAAATTCGCAATTTTCAATGAAGGCGAGCTAGCAAAGATCCTTAGGAAAATTCTTTGCACAAATATGCCTAGATTGCCCTAGCGGAATCAAATTTCAGGCTGGAACGGGGGTAGAGTAGTTGGGGGGGGCGTCGAGTTATTTCCGCAACAATGATTTCAAATCGAGAGTGGGGAGTTGTTTCGGGTCTGGGTCTCGATTTCTCTGCTATCCTCTCTTACGCCTACTACTCAAAAATGTTCGAACTGTCAATTTCTGGCTCTTGGAGTAAAAGCGAAAAAATTTTGCCGCGGGCGGGGTTCGAACCCGGGTCGTATGGGTGGGTGGCGAGAGCTTTACTAATTGACCAACCCATTGTAATAGATTTTCGCGGATCAATCTATCTAAAGGGAAAATGCCAGAATTTTTCTTAATGGCTTCTGCTAGTTTTTAGGCGATAGAAAAGAGGGACAGTTAGAGAGAGCAAGAGAAGAGCTGTGCTCTAGTTTTGACCGCAATTTTAAAGTTTCAATTTTAGGAAAATACCCCGATGGGCTCTATTCTGGCGATAGAAATGAGGGACAACTAGAGAGAGAGCAACGGAAAAGGAGCATGAGCTCCTTCCTTAACTAAAAATTATCGATCTCTCAATTTTTTCAATGTTTTGAAAGTTCCATGAAAAAATTGCCAGAAATAGCAGGATCTTTGCTTATTTCTAGGCGATAGAAAGAGGGACAGCTAGAGTGCGAGTGAGAGAGCAAGAGAGAACACCAGAAGACAAGCAACACAGCAATCAATAATCAGTTCCGGGCAGGTGGAGAGCTTGTAGTAAAAGGAAAACGAGCCCCGCTGGGCCCCTGCCTGGGGCCTCTAGTAATGGAGTATGGTGGGTGTCTCTCTTTCTCTGTCTCTGCCTCTCTCTCTCTGCCTCTCTCTCTGTCTCTCTCTCTCTCTCTCTCTCTCGGGCATTACACATAGTGGTGGCCGCTTTGTGGGTCTAAAGCTGGCCATCCTCACTCAGCCCGTCACTATTGCACATCAATTAGCACAAGGGAAGAACACCTGGGCAGGCTAGCAGGGGTTTTTGGGGAATTTGGGAATTTTGGGAGTCTAGTAGAGAGCGTTTGGGAATCGCCCTGACATTGAGAAGAGCAAGGCTAGCAGAGATTCTTAGGGAAGCTCTATCCATTGGGGTCAATTTAAAGACACAGGGCAGGCTAGCGGGGATTTTTTGAGAAAATTTGGGTAGCTAGCAGAGACCATTTTTAGAGCGGCCTCGTTTAGTGAACCATTACGGAGGCGAGCAGAGATTTTTGCGGAAACAGAGCCGCCGGAGGCGAGAGTGTGAGCGAGAGACAAAAATGAGAGAGAGCGAGAAGAGGGAAGAGAGAGAGAGAGAGAGAGACAGAGAGAGAGAAGAATTATGGACACCATCCCGAAAAGACACCATCCCGAAAGACAGCATCCTGAAAATTTACATGCGAAAACTTCATTAGCATAGAAAAATAGCTCCTTTTTCTATAGTAGAGCTGACTTTTCGCATGCAAATTTTTCGGGATGGTGTCTTTCGGGATGGTGTCCATCTACCAGAGAGAGAGAGCGAAGAGATACGTAAAGGCAGGCGAGCAGAGACCCTTTGCAAATCGTCTCTAGGCAATGTCGAAATCCGTATATTACAAGTCAAATCCTCTCCATCGCGCTACGGTAAGCTAGCAGTGATTCTTTGAGAAAAAAACAGTACCTTGGCTAGCTAGCAAAGATCCTTTAATTGCTCCACGCGACAATGGCAAGCTAGCAAACACCATTTCATCAACCCACCTCCAAATCTGTCAGCAGTGTATCAAGCAATTGATAGGTCGTCATGCCATTTAAAGGGACCGGCAAGGCAAAGTAGTCTAAGGATTTTGTGGACTTCTGGAGTCAGCGTGCTTTTAAATTGTTTTTTTAGGGTTGAATTGGAATTAGAGGACGGATGCTGAGGATTCTGAAGGGGGTGGATGGGAGATGTGGATGTAACGGGAGACCTCCCTCTTCTTCTTCTGCTTTCCATTTGGGTGAATCCGGAAGGCAAAAAGAAGACTAGCAATAAACCAGTGTTTTCTTTCTCTAGTGGGATTCTCTCTCTCGCTCTCTCTCTCTCTCTCACTCTATTCCTCTCTCGCTCCTTCTAGCCGGGAGAACAATGAGAGAGTGAGAAAGAGAGGGAGAGAGAGGGAGAGAGAGAGTGAGAGAGAGACAGGAAGAAGAAGACCACCAATGAATACGCATCAACGCTTCCACGACACCAGGGCGGATAGCGTACGGAGATTCTGGGAATTTTAAGCAGGGCCGCCTAGCAGGGTTTCTTTGTGGAATTCAAATATTTAAAATTTAGAGACAAACCTGCAGTAGTTCTTGAAAATACCAGATTTCTGGTTGAACTTCTCGAGGCCAGGTAATCTGGCCGAGATTTTTTGACCAAACCGAGCTTTTTAAAGGTACCAGGAAGACCGAATTCTACTGTATATACATAGCAGATACTTTGAAGCAAAAAGTATGATCTGTCGCTATCGCAATATTTTTCCTCTCTCCGCCCACCTTTCTGGCCTCTTCAATCTCCTCTTCCCATTTTGGTCGTTCTGGCTGCCTGACTTCTGAGCTTGTTGGTATCCGAACATCTTCGTGATTGTAGCGAGCTGTTGAGTCGATCTAAAGGACCATTGAAGCTACAAATAGCTCTCCTACCGTATCCGTCCATTTCGGTGATTCGGCCCTCCTGACCAAATCGACAGCCCTCGTATATTCATGGGCTCTCGACAACTCTTCTGGCCTAACAACATCAAGGTTTTCCTGAAAGACCACATTTAAAGGGACCTTGAAGCAACAGTTTCGACCCCTACAGTCGACTAGGTCTCGACAGGTGATTAGATCTCGACCTTCCTAATCTCTTTAATTCCCCTGAAATTAGCATACCTTGCTGGTGTCGAATACTCTCTTTGGTGTCGGTTTCTTTGGCTGGGAAAAGGCTTCTTTTAGGGCTTTTGACGGGACGTAGGAGAAACATTTTGAAGCCTTATCGTATCTGAAAGATCGGGGATTAAAATGGATCCTCAAAGGTATCTGCTAGGTTCCGCAAATGATCTCTGCTAGCTTGCCTGGAGGCGTTGTGAATCTCAAAGAATCTCTACTAGTCTGCCAATATTCAAAAATGTTCCGCAAAACTAGCATAAAATCCGGTTTCCTCAAAAATCTCTGTGAGCTCACCTATCCTTTCCGACCAAATCCGGCACAAGACTCGGCGCCGCTTTTTTCTCCGCCGTTGCGGGACCATTATTTTCCTGCTGAATCTCGGCATTCAGTTCATCTAGTGGGGCCAGCATTCCATTTTCCTGTTGCTCCTTGAGTTCTTGCTCCTCTCTGGCGTCTTGCTCCTGAAAATGGTGAATTATGCAGGTTTCCCTAGGCGGCTCACTTTTTGTGCTTTAACCATGGGACGAACGGAGGCTGGGAGGACGCCACGTCTGAAAAAAGAGGGTGAAGAAATTAACCGGCATTTCAAAGGCCCAGGAAAGTTTCCGCACCTTTCGACATATTCGCCTTGTGGTTCATCTTCTGGCGGCTGCACACTTCCAGGCCGTGATGTCGGCTTTGGAGGGACCGGGGGGCCCATTTGAGGGTGATGCGGCAATGATTCCTCCTGCAAAATAAACGGTAAATTGTTTAAAACTTTGGGAATTTGGGAATTTGATAGCGTAATCGGCTACGCAGAGAGAGAGAGAGAGAGAGAGAGAGAGAGAGAGAGAGAAAGAGAGAGAGAGAGGCTGAGAGAGACCGCGAGGGATGAGAGAGTGAAAGATAGTTAGTGAGAGATAGAGAGTGAGTGAGAGAGAGACAGAGAACAAGAGATAGAGCGAGCGCGAGCGCGAGAGAGGGAGAAGGAGAGAGAGAGAGAGAGAGAGAGCGTGAGAGTACGAGAAAAATAGACGAATAGAGGGAAAATACCGTCCCGAAAAATCCATCAAGGAACCATAGCTAATCAGTCCATAACAAGCCTTGAAATTATCCTTAAAAATTAGGAAGGCAAGAATTCCTGAAAAATCTACAAAATCGATAAATGCCTTGACCCCTAGCAGTGAAAAAGCGGGTAGATGTGAAAGAGTGGGACCGGAAGGGCACGATTAAAAGTTTAAAGCAATCGAAAAAGAGGGGAAAGAAAAGAGGGAGGAGGAGGTGGAGAAGGAGGTGGAAGATGGGGGAGGGCCAGCTGTTCTTAACCCACTCTATTTTCCGCTATATACCCAGAGGGATATCCAACTAACCCAACAAACAACAAAAAAATTGCTGGCAATTTTACTAGCTTTTCTACCGTAAAAAAGTGCAACTATTGCCAAAAGCAAATAAAAAATTACAATAATAATAAAACTTTTTACGGTTACAAAAATAGGGGTATTGATATCAAATAAATATTAGCAATTAAATCGTAATTAAAGGAGATAAAACAAAAATCGTAGATCATCATTATAAATCATTTAAAATGAAAAATTACAAAAATTAGATTGAGCAAAAATCAACGACGAAAATTAAAATTGAGATTAAGTTTCTTTTAAGCCAATAAAAATATTGAGATTTTAAATTAATTTTTAGGGCTCCTCTTTGATGTCATTTTTCCTTTTTGGAAGCTTACATCTTTTTTCCGCTTGGCAAGCTAGCAGAGCCCATTTAAAATTTCTTTCGCAACCAGAGTTAATTTAAATAAGCTAAATTAACAAAATAGAGGTAAAAACAACAAAAATAGAATTTCCGGTCGCTACGAAAGCAACGATTTGGGAAGAGATCGAAAAGGAAGATATTGAAAGCTAGTTTAAAACACTGCAGCAAAGAAAATACGCCTAAAACAGTTAAAAACTATATAAAAATCGAATTTCCCCGCCCATGGCAACAATCGAAAAGTGGCTTCTCTGTGTGTCAGCCATTGCCCCGGGCATAGAAACAAAAAAAAGAGTGGAAGCGGAAAGACAAAAAGAAACATTTCCTCCGGCGCGGCTAGCGGGGCTCCTGTTCGCATGCATATTTTGAGGAGACGTTAAGAGGAAAGAAACGGAAAAAAAGGCGGGTTGGCTAAAAGGGTTCTCAACTATCGGAGGAGGATTAGCGCGAAAAACGGCTTCAACAGGTTTTTGAAGTGTTCTTTAGAGCTTTAAGGAAACACTGATCGTTCGGAAATAAGGCAAAGACAACTCAGCTTAGGTATTCAACTAGAACCCATGGAAAGATAAAACTTTTCTCATGGCAAATGGATTTAGAAGAGCCCGTCAAACCATTTTCGGTTTAAATTCAAATTAACAATGAACTTCAAACAAATTTTACTTTCATGCACAGCTCGATCGATCCCTTAATTGTGGACTCGACGAACCCTGTGGTATCGGAGATTTTCAGTTCGATTTTGGGTCCGGGGCCTCGGATCCAAAATTGGTCCCCAGGGAGGGTTTTCCACTTTAAACTTTGTCATTTACCACAGAAAATAAGGAAATTTTTTCCTGCGCGCTCCTAATCACCTAGAAAACCGCCTAGGATTGAAAAATTCTTGCTTTATGGCCTTTTGGCTTGTCATGCTAAAACGCGCTCCTGGCGGGTTACCGCAGAAAACGGTAGGTTACCGTTTTCATTATCTTTCACC